CCTGCTCCTCCAGCATTTGATAATAGATGTAGAGAGATGAAAGTGGCATGCTTTTCAATATTTTGAAGAGAGGCTCACAAGGCTCTAGTTAACCTGCGTCCCTGCTATTACTCTAACTAATGGGTGTTTTTTTTTCGATGTGTAGAACTTTAAGATGGCATTACTGTGCAAGATGGCGACCGATTTAACAGCTGTCGAGTGATTTATTCTCAGTTTGGTTTGGCAATTCATCATGAATATACTCACGCCTGAACAACGCTTGCAAATAGTGCAATTTTATTTCGAAAATAATGGTTCTGTGCGGAATACGTATCGCGCTCTACGTCCATTTTATCGACGACAAAATCGTCTGAGCAGTTAATTCGATTAACCATGGAACGTTTTCGCACCACGTTTACTCTTATTGATAACTCGCATCCCCAGAGACGCCTTACGGTGCGTACAGAAGAAGCTATTGCTGCTGTAGAGCGTAGCATTGAGCAAGACCCGAATGAGTCCATCCGCCATCGAGCACAGGAATTGGATCTGTGTCCATCCACTTTATGGAAGATTTTGCGAAGGATCTTGGTTTACGTGCTTACAAAATCCAACTCATGCAAGAATTGAAGCCAAACGATCATCAAATAAGGCGTAGATTCGTTGAATGGGCCCAAAACGAGATTCCCGTTGTTTCCGATTTTCATAAGCGAATTTTGTTTAGCGATGAAGCGCACTTCTGGTTGAATGGCTACGTCAACAAACAAAACTGCCGCATTTGGAGCGAAGCTAATCCTCAAGTGTATGTCGAAACACCGTTATATGCAGAAAAACTGACTGTTTGGTGCGCTTTATGCGCTGGTGGAATCATTGTTACAGTCAATGATGATCGGTATAGAGCTATGATTAATAACTCTTTCATTTCTGAATTGAATAACCATGATGTCCAGGAGATGTAGTTTCAACAAGACGGCGCTTCATATCAACACAGCTCGTGCCACAATCGATTTATTCAAAGACACGTTTGGTGACCGCCTAATTTCACGTTTTGGACCTGTGAATTGGCTTCCAAGATCTTGTGATTTAACACCACTAGGCTACTTTCTGTGGGGCTATGTAAAGTCATTGGTCTATGCGGATAAGCCACAAACGCTTGACCATTTGGAAGACCATTCGCCATGTTATTGACGATATACGGCCACAAATGTTGGAAAAAGTAATCGATGTCCAGATTGGACTACATCCGCGCCAGCCGTGGCGGTCATATGGCGGTCATAGAAGTCATATTTAAAATGTAATGCCACAAGATTATCTTTCGGATAAATAAAATTCATGTCAATCGAATAATCCACCGTTGTTTTATTGCAACTTAAAGTTCTGTACATAAAAAAAAAACACCCGTTACCTTTTTTGAAGTTTAAAAGCCGCATCAGCTGCAGCACCATAGGTTGAATGAAAGAGAGAATAATATGTCATCATTAATGTTTCTTTCGCTTCTAATTTTTTTGCACAGTGTTTTACAACCAATTGACATGCCGAGCCTAGCCCAAACTATAATCTATTGTAATCTCCAAAAGCTGTGACCGTCAAAATTAACAAACGGCAGTGGCTAAATTCTACCGAAAACGTTGATGAGGGATGTTCAGAAATCAAGCACGCTAAGTTACTTACTTATTAAGAAGTTATTACAGAAAAACGATACAAAAAAAAAGAAATAAAAGACAAAAAAGAAAACGCAAAAAATGAAAGAACAGAGACAAATAAAACGAAGAAAGAAAAAACAAAGAACCAAGTTATCAGATATCAAGATATCAGTTCACCAGAAAACGAAATGGAAGTGCATGCAATAGAGAGCATATCCAAATTATTTCTTTTTTTTGTATCTAACCTAAACATGAAACTGTCATAATGTTTGCTTTTAAAGTAATACATAAAATAATCGAGGATACAATATTATTTTAGCAGGCTTTAAAATCTGATTTTCATCTAGTTTTCTAATTTTATTTCTATATACGCATTTAAAATAAAGATTTTGCGCTCTGAATTAGAGTTTTTTTTTTAACATGCCCAGTGTTATTTTACACTTGTCTCTAGCCTAGAACTGTTCAATTGACCACTGACTAGTCAAATTTGATCAAAATGTTTTCAATAACATCTTGCAAATGTAGAGTATTATCAATTTTCCTATAAACTCTAAGAGGAATACCCGAATACGATACTTAGCGATTCGGAGAATCCCAATGACAATATCGACTTCATTTAGTACTTAGAACGGCGCGACGTCGACGTAACGCACGATATAAATAAATAAATATAAATTTTTCAAAGAAACTTCCACAGGCTACTGTAATAATTTTTACAAAACTTCCGGATTCCTCCTGCGTCAGTTTTTGCTGAGCCGAAATTACAGTTTCAGTCAAGTTCTGAAGAAGCCAACAGGATGATTGGCGAAACGTCAGCAATTTCGACTCAGCAAAAACCGACGCAGGAGGAATCCAGAAGTTTGTGTAAAAAGTAAAGAAATATATCTTTTATTTCGGTCAATTGACACAACAAAATTTGTCCGGTCAATTCCAAAACCCTAGTAGTTTCTAATATCGTTGCATCAAACATGAGGTTTGTGATTGCCTGCTGTATTAAATATGTAAATTAGTGTTTCAAGAGTTTGAATAAAATTTGTTAATTTATAAAGTTATTGTATTTAAATACAATTTTTTTTCACTTATATAAATCTAAAAAAATTCGCTCTTAAGTATACTGTTTGACTTGACTAAGTGGAGGGAAAAATAAAAAAAAATCCTGCATGTTGCCCGCATACGTGACCACACCGTATAAACCTGTGTAATCGTATAGTTTCGCTTATTTGCCTTATCAGATGATGCGAAACAAATGACGATGTTAAGCTGATGTATTTCGAGACACCGTGTACAAAGCAATGGCAGCGGAACCGGAGTTGAACCGGCACTGGCGGTTAATAATAATTATAACAAGTGGAACAACTGCTGAAAGAAACAAAGACACACATTCGCCGCATTAATGGATCTTGTTTTGGCCAGTATGGATCGGTTTTCTAAATCAGGATGCCCGGCGATAAAATTTACCAGGCTTGGTAATGCGGGATGCCATAGGAAAAGAAAACTCGCCGATTGTTCAATATATGTTTATAGAAGTTTCTTTTCTCGCCGTAAGCGCACCAAAGTGGTTATTAGCGTTTAATAATATGATAAATGCCATTACTTAATTAATGTTTACAGTTAAGTCATAACGATTATATATATGTTAAGGTAATACTGTAACTGTGGTTCGGAAAGCAACTGACATATTACGTGGCGTAAAATTATTGCGAAGTAACGTGCGAGACTATAAACGATTCATATTATGAATTGATAAGGAAGCGATTAGGAAACCATATTTTAGAGAATAAAGAAAAAACCTAAAACACTTGTGTCGCTTAACAATTATTTTGGCACTGAATTTCGCATTAAGAAGAAGAAGATTCATTTGTTGAAGATTTAATGTAGGATGTTACAACGCAAGGTTAGCCAAAACAAAAAAATTGAAATGAAAACTAATGAATTTAAAATGCCGCGAAAACGACAGGAAAGAAGAAAATTATTTTATATACTTTAGGGTGAAGGTAAAATGTAATGTAATGTAATACGTCACAATGGGAGGTCAACCAAAACAAAAAAATTAAAACGGATAGCAACAAAACGATAATGAAATTGGCGGCTTCTAGAGCCTTCTTCTTCTCGATTCACGAATCTTACAATGTGTTTGTGATATATGGAACAAATCATTATATATTCAAAGCGTGTCATGATTTAAGTTTTTTTGGTTAGTTTGGTTTGGTAATTTTTGGTTAGTTTTAGATAAGTGGAGCTATGTCACTGCTAGATCATTACCTAGTTTAGTAGTCATACTCATTTGCTTGAATTTCAATCGGTTTCTTCAATTTCCAAAATGTTCTTCAAATTTATCGGTCAAAGAATTCAGTATAAGTAACCCCAAATATCTATTTGAAAAAAATTGTTTTATTAAATATTTAGATATGCTCGTAATTTGGTCTTGAGGCATGAACACATTATCTCGCCTACTCCTCATAAAACTAGGTTTCTTGTAGGCTCTCAATCTTCATCGTGTTGATTTTCGACAAACCTTCCCAAATAAAACTTTAAGGATGTTATTATCTATTGTTATTGCGTAAAGAAATTAATGAAACATTCATTCTTATTTGAGTGAGAATGCCAGGTAATTTCTTTCTTTCCGATATATTTCTTGAGTTTGTGGCAGTGTTATTTTACGAGAATATAACAATATCGTGTAGAAATCATTTGTCGGTTGATGCAAAACAGGTTGTGAAAAAGTGTATGAAACATTAACTTAATCGACAAGAAGCTTTAAAAGAAACCTAGCTATGTAATGACAGTTAAAAGGGGGGATATAGATATAGAATTGCATATTTTCACTATAATACAGCAGTCAGAAACCGGATCTCAAGGGAGGTCACTCTAAGATCCTTTTAACTATCTGTAGCCAACCTATTTGAATCATCTCTCGGAAAGTCTATATCGTACCTAATCGTACCGTAAGCCAGTTCGACGGCGTGCTTATTCAGCATATTTATACGTTTCTGTATTCATCACATTATTAATAATGCGACAGTTCAATACAATAATTTCGCTGAGAGAGAAAAGAAAAAATTCTAGGGTAAATAAAGTAATTACCTTGCAAATAAAATCTTAGCAAAGTATATTTTGCTGATATTTTTCCCGGCACTTTTCGCCTTATAAAAAGTAAATTAGTTCTCTGTTTTCGCATTTGATAAATGCGACAAAGAGGGAACAACGAAGAAATGAAACGGTATCTGGGTTAAGCACGTGTTTCGATTACCAATTCGCTAGATAGAATTCGAAACGAGACTCGCGAACCAGCAACAAAAGACGCAGGCTCGAGCAGTTTGTAACAAAAAAAATGCATTTTTATTGCGTTCGAGTGAAACGTTTTCCGTCTTTTTATTTCAGCTTACGGTAAAGTGTTCCTGGTACGGAAACGCGGTGGCAGCGACAACGGCCGCCTTTACGCAATGAAGGTCCTCAAAAAGGCGTCCATCGTACAGAAAAAGAAAACCACGGAACACACCAAGACCGAGAGACAGGTCTTAGAGGCTGTCCGCGATAATCCCTTCCTCGTAACCCTTCACTACGCCTTCCAGACTGATGCCAAATTGCACCTCATCTTAGGTAAGCGATCAGACATTTCTTTCTTCAGTTTACATTTCGGAGTAGTTTTTTTTTATTTTCTAATTTGAAATTTGAATAATTTTTTTCGAAGCAATATCCAGATATTAGTTCTAGTTGAAGAGAATATTAAATATCAAATCAAATAAAAACCAAATTTATTAAATAATAAATACACCAGAACAAATATTAGACACCTAGATACGCGGTGTATCTGAAGAAATAAATGCAGTAAAAGCGGGTGTACTATAAATATGCCACCAATTCAGAAATCGCGAACCGTGACAAAATAAAAAACAACAAATATATAAAGAAACCAATTTAAGTTTTTAAAGAGATTAATTATCTTAAGGCTTAGGCAACGATTTGAAGAATTTTGTAATTTTTTCTTGCTTGGTAGTTTTCAGAAGTTCCTTCAATTCAGACTGATACGCAGTAGTGGCTTTAGTAATTTGCCTGTTATAAAATAAAACTTCCTTCCATCAATGTTCATAAGGAAATCGAAAAGCTTATTTGCCATTCTTAAACCGTCACTAAGATTTTTCAAATTAAATGCCACGTTTCCAGTGCTTGCTGAAAACTTTCCTTCAATGGGCTGTGAATTTAACATTTCCTCCAAGCCAGAGACAGTCAAATCTTCGTCTTGCAATTTAGGCAATTCCTGAACGTCAGTTGATTCTATTTGTCTGAATCCATCTCGTCCTATTCCATTTGCTAATTCGGCATTTTGTAATATCAAATTTGTTCCAGCATTCCATAACATTCATATTCATATTCATTCAATGTGACTTTTAAGGTTCGTCTTAAAGACCTGGATTATTCTTTGGATGAGATGTTGACCTGGCGCATTGTCAAAAAAACTAGAAGTGCTTTAAATTTAAAGTCTAAGTTCTGTTTTTTAAGTAAATTGCAACTTAAGAAACAAAACAATTCCGGAACCAGTCAGAAAAAAATATCGCTTGTAACCCACGATTTCTAATTAGTATGCCAAAATACCGACAGGTTGTTCTTGTTTTGATTTTTGAAATCGCTAGTATTAAACGGTTAGTAAAGCATCAGTGGATTAATGACACAATCTCCAGATGCATTAAAACGTAGCAGCAGCGTAACTATATCCGTACTGCCTTAAATCCAGGAGCAGACTTGACGCTGTGCAATGCAGTTTCGTCTGCATTAAATACTTGCTCAGGTTTGTATCCTTCATCAGCTACTAGGTTTTTGCAAATTCTTCTGGATCTCGTTCTGTTGCAGCAGTGCCTGCAGATGCTGCTTCTCCGATGATTTTAATGTTATACAATGATTGTCTCACCTAAAATTTATTGAACCAACCTTCTTGTGTTGCCTCGGCTAGCCGATCGGAAATAAACAACAACTAATGTCGTACTTTCTATTTTCCTTTCAAAACTGAATTACACACTTACACATTTGGTAATTTAACAAGACAAATTAACAAAAATAATACTCGCCAAATTGGCGCGTAGCGTATCCCGCTACCGTCTCCTTACCCCCCACAGTTACTCATTTCGCCGTTCTCACTCGTGTTCTTCTTAAATTCTGACAATACACTTTACCACAAATACAACTGGGACAAGGTATTGGCCGCACCACATTACCCCCCAATTAAATTATACTTTCAAACACAATGACTTAAACGCTATAACTTAAAACTATTAACATAAGTGCAGAATGGGTAATTTAATACTCATAATAATCATAATACCGGAAAATAAATTTAACTAAAACAATACAATCATTTTTCAGAACAGGACAAATAGTCGCACAAAATGTAGCTATTTCAAAGAACGATAAGGTTTAAGGTTAATAACATTTTCTTTATTAATGAAGTCACCATTTTCGTTTCCTATATTATAAGAATTAGGGCCTGCAGAACTCAAAATATAATATGGTCCTTCAAACAGCAAAAAGAATTTACGAATTTCCGAATTTTCCGCAGAAGATAATGGATGCTGTTTGACCAACACCGCGTCACCCACATTAAACTGTACCGGGACAACAGAGTTATCATGCTTCAATTTACGTTTTTCACTCTTCGTTAACATTTTTAAATGGGCTAAATGCCAAATTTGCTCTAAATTCGTTTCTTCAATATTTCCAGCGCGTGGATACTTAATTAATTTATGAATGTTATTTTCATTCTCCTTGCCAAAATGCAGAAGGTTTGGAGTAAAACCCGTACTAAAATGTATAGTGTTGTTAATACAATTTTCAATAGTCTCAAGAAGACATGCCCACTTTGTATGTTGATTAAAACAAAACGCTCTAAAGAGCCTTCCAATTTCCCTGTTCACTCTTTCGGTTAAGTTGCGTTGTGAAAAATAGACAGAAGTATGGTTAATTTGAACTACCTTTCCCTTCATATAATTTACCCACGTTTTAGATTGGAATTGAGTAGCATTATCACTTAAGATTCGTTCAGGAATTCCCATTTGCTTAAAATAGTCCTTTTCCAACCGATTAATTATAACTGGTGCTATGGCACGCTTTAATGCATAAAGTTTGACATATCGCGAAAATGCATCCACTACCACGAGCAATTGCGTTACTCCTCCACGAGAAGTAGGTGAAGGACCCATTAAATCTAAACAAGTTAACCTTCCTGGACGATCCAACACTAAAGAATTAAATGTTCCCACACTCTTTTTAGATACCTTTGACTTCTGACACAAATCACAAGTTAAAACGATTTTGGGCACAGATTTCGATATTTTAGGCCAGTAAAATTCATGCTTCATATGTTCATAAGTTTTCTTATACCCCACATGACCCAAATCATTATGTTGTTGTTTAACTAAATACAAAATTTGATTTTCCGGAACACAGAGTTTATAACCAGGTGACTGTACAGTACCTTTTCGAAATAATATACCTTCATGCAGTTTGTACCACATTATTACCCTTTTTTTTGGCGTTTATATTACTCAAGTCAGGCTTTTCCAAAATTTTATTTAATATTTCTATTTTTTTAATTAATTTATACTCACTACTTAATTTTAGCATCGAAATATCAACCTTACTATAAGAATCACATTTGTCTACCTTCCGATTAACGATAGGATGTCGAGATAAGCAATCTGTATTTTTTACCACTTCCATTAGTTCATTTTCAGTATATTCATGACGTTTAGCAGCATCAATAAAATTTATCGTGATAGATTTTTCATTGGCAATTTCTAGTTCGAACCTAACTTTTGAAATATTACCTTCATCTCCTATCGATAAGGATAAATTAGCAAAATCTATTAAAAGTTTCTCGTTTATCATCCAGTCAGCACCCAATATAATATTTTTGTTTAGTTTTGGAACAATAATACAAATAATATTAAACTCTTTACCCCCCACTTCAATAGGCAATAATATTTGTTCAGACACTTTTTGTTTCTTTGCACCTACAGCAATTACGGTATTGCTTATTGGTAATATAGGAAAGTTTATACTATGACATTTTAATAAATTTGCAAATTCTTCAGGAATTGCAGAAACTTGGCTACCCGTATCTAATAAAATTTCATATCTTTTTTCATAAATTTTACCCGAGATTACAGGTGAACAGAAATGTTTCACTGGCTCATCTCCTTCGCTATCTGATACCAAATCACCATACTCAAATTTAGTAATAACCCTCGTCGACCGATTATTATTACTGTTCTCACCTCTATTTCCGTAATTACGTGTCTGATTACTTTCCCTATTACTAGCATCAGCTCTCCTCTGTCTATCATCATTACTGTCCAAATTATGTTGTCTCCAGGGGCCTCTATGTTCGGGTTCAGTTTCGTCAATTTTCTTTAAAAAATGCTCTAGTTCGTCTACTGTTTTGATTCCCGTTATAAAAATTCCCCTCTGTATTTCGCAAGGAAAATGTTGTGCCCACCATTCAACTAAAACAGACTCACTAATTTTTTCAGTTAAATACATTGCTTTTCCAGCTAATTTTAACACATAATCAGCTCTGCTGTCCCTTCTATACTGACCATACGTGAGTTCATAGAACAGCTCCCTTTCCTCAGTAACCCCCCAATAACGTTTTCAAAAAGCCAACAAAAACTCATCTAAATTATTAAAATGTAAAAGAAGGACACCCAATCTGCTGCTGACCCACGTAAACAATCTATTGCTAAATTTACTTGTAAATGCTCAGGTATCATTGCTTCATTTATCAAACGTCGCAGTGTGTTCTCAAAATATATGGGATTCACAGGGCCGTCCGGTGAAAAGACTAAATTACACCCACCTCGATCCTTCCAAGACGACAGATAACTTGATTCTTTTGCTTGGAAAAAATGCTCCTCATGCCTCATCTGCTTGTTTTGCGCCGCTACTTGATTCGTATCCGTTCCTTTACCTCCAACAGTAGCTAGCATTTCCTTATTTTTAGCCACTTCAGTTGTTAATTTGGCCACACTATCGGCCAATGACTCAACCAAATTCCTTAAACTCATACTGGGACTAATAATTCCATCCAAATCTTTATCCACACTAATACACTTTGTATTTCGCTTGGGCATTTTTAGACACGACAATATACCACCATAAACTCGTAAATAATGATTCTGAATCCAGCAAACTGAATCGATTCCTTCTCAGGTCGTATTTTCTACAGTTCGAGCCCTCGTTGATGCGCCAATTTATGTGTTGCCTCGGCCAGCCAATCGGAAATAAACAACAACTGATGTCGTACTTTCTATTTTCCTTTCAAAACTGAATTACACGCTTACACATTTGGTAATTTAACAAGACAAATTAACAAAAATAATACTCGCCAAATTGGCGCTTAGCGTATCCCGCTATCGTCTTCTTCTTAACTTCTGACAATACACTTTACCACAAATACAACTGGGACAAGGTATTGGGCGCACCACATTCTGATGCATGAAATCACTGCTGCTGCTGCTGGTGTTGCTGTAGACTCTAGGGCCTTTTCGCTAAATTTTTCTTTTAAAAAGGTGTTGGTGAACGGTTATTGTAATCGAGAGTGGATCCTT